GACGAGGAGGAGACGCTGAGAATCACCCTTCCTCCAGGCGGAGCCGGCCCCCTCACCCGCGGGTGTGTCCTATAAATGGCGTCGGAAAGCGACACTGAAGAATTCTATGATGCCCCCGAAGATGTGCACCTGGGGGGTGGCTATCCCGTAGGGTAAGTAACCCAAGCCCGGGCCCAGAACTCGGACATCCCAGTGGCTTGCTTCTCCTGTGTCTGCCTCTATTCCTCTCCCAAATGCTGCTGTGTCTGTCACCGCTGTTCCTCTTAGTCTCGCTTGGACACCTCAGAACCCAAACCTGGAACTCCTTAAGGCAAGATGAGTTGGAACAGGGACAGGGAAGCCTCCTCTGTCCTTTTCCCTAGTAAACGGCCCGGGGACTCCTTCGGAACCCCTTTCTTGTCTTGGCCAGCCATCGAGTGGATGGCATTCGTGTCTAAGAGGCAACGATTTGTATTGGCGGTGTTCAAAGCTTACCTTTCCAACATCTGTTTCGACCCTTGGGGACCAAAAGGAGCGGTAGCAAGAGAAATTGAACTTCCCTGGGTCTTTTATGTAAAAACCTCTAGTTTACCTATTCATTTCCGAAGTGCCTGTAACTCTATACTATTTGCTAATTCACCTTTTCTTTTGCATAAAAAAAGAAGCGGGGAGACGGCAGGTATTTACTCAACGAAGCCCTCCAGCCAACGTGCTCGACATCAGCAGTGTTTTACTGAAATAGCACTTAACTGTGCGCCAGAGGAAATTGTAGACAAGATCCTTACCATTAGAGAGAATGATGTGGTCTGAAACGGCAGCCGGACATAAATGTACACAGCCGAGTACAGATGTCCAAACAAGTGCTGACTAATCTGGTCCTTGGAAGGAGAGCCCAGCTTTGTGCCCTTTATCTACTTTTGCAAGATGTTTTACTTGTGATTAATATGGGTAGCTCTGAGAAGGAAGTTCACTAGTTGGACAGCTTCTCTGATCAGGATTTGGACTTACTTATTCTTTCCCTTTCTCAGAGTTAAAATAGCGTTTAAAATGATTTCAAAACTCTTCTGACGTGTCTGGAGCCAGCAGACTGTGAGATCTTGAAAATTAGTAAAATGTGTATATATCAGTGTGTGATTCTTGGTGTTGAACTCTCTTCAGTTTTTATGTTTACCCCCGTAGAACAAATATAGCTATCACTACATTTTAGAAGTCCTTTAAAAAAACTGCTATGTTTTATACACAATATATGTTATACCCCCCCCCAAAAGTTACAGCAACAGAATCAGAAAGAAATGTATGTTGGTACATTACTAATGTGTTTGTTTCCAGGAAGCTGTCTGTGACTATTGTGAGATTTTAGGATGACAATGATCTGCCTTGAGATAGCACTGAATCTCTCTCAAGTTCAGTATCTGATCCAAGTTTGTAACTTGGTAGAACAGGGTAGAGAATGCCTTTAGATTTTCAAAGAGAATGAATTCTCCTGAAATAAAGTCGTGTGGTTTTCACTTCAAAGTAATGAACTGTCAGTTCAGGTTAAATGACTGAATAAATCACTTAGTAAGCATTTTTGCAAGGTTTTTTTTTTTTCTTTTCTTTTTTATGTGGAGGGAATAATCAGTTTTCACTATGTTAGCAATTTAGAGCCATGTGGATATTGTTCTTCCTCATTGAATAAAGCAAGTTTAGTTGAGAAAGCAGTTATTTCGGGACCTCTGTAAACTGTTAAGTTCAACACCTAACACAGAAATCATAGTCAAATGTGAATTCTCCTTTCTTGGCATTAGACTGTTAGCTTTATACAGTGATTACTTTGGGAGGCAATGTACAAACTTATACTGTTTTACTTATCTGAATCCAATGAGTCATTATGGTAGAATCAATAGTCACTTCTCCCCCCTGGGATGATATTGCTTCTCAAGAACTTTATACTTTGATAGTAGGTGAAAAGTTTGTTTCTTTTCAAAGTCCTTTGGGACCCAGCTTTCTAAATTTAATTCTAGCTTACCCCCAAACTGAGCATGTTGAGAGCTCTATGGTAAAATAATGACAAGATTTGACTGGATTCCATGTCCTCCCTCCTACTGTATTAATGAGAGAATTGGGAAAAAATAGACTTATTTGGAGAATTGGACCTGAAAACAGCAATATTGAGAGGGCAATAAAGGGGTGGCTTTGTTTGTATTTTCCTTCATCCTCTGTGGCAGACTTGGAAGGTACTGTGAGCAGACTTAGCTTAGCAGCTAACAGCTTTAAAACTCAGTGAGAAATCTTGATTTCTGAAAACAGGTGGTGTCACTAGCTAGTTGATCATAAGAAATGTCTTCTGTTCCTTGACATGAACCGAAGTGGCACACCATACAAGCTCTAAGAGGCTAATTGAGTGAATTTGGCCACTTAAAGAAATGCTTCTTGATGTTTGTGTGTTTGGGAATATACGGAGTGTTTCATCAAATTGTACTAAATTGAGTAGACACTTGAGACGCCTGATGTTTGGTTAATCAGCAGAATCAAAATACACAGTCTGTCGCTCAATATTGATCTACTCCTTACACTTCTTGCCTATTTGTTAATCTATACTTTGAAAGAAAATTTAATAAACAGCCACTGATTAGAATTTGAGTCCAGTACAGTTACATTTCAATGGTGGCTGATCATCTCTTATCCAATTTGCAATGTGTACCACATGTATAATGGTTTCTTTTGATGGGGACTTTCTCCATTTTTACATAAAAGATCTTACAAAAGTTAAATGCATTGTTCTAGGAGAAACACCTTGCAAGCAGCAAAACTGGCATTTGAAACCTGCTCATCAAACACTAGCCCAGTGTTTTTCTAATACATCATAGCTGTTCTGCACTGTGTGGAAAAGGGATCTTCCCCCAGTTGATCCAAGAGTAAAATGCTTTTGTACCAACCCTCTAAATTGAATTGATAAATCTATTTAAAGCCATCAGCCCAAACCTTTCACCTCTTTTGGCTGCAAATTCCCATTTGCTCTTTCCAGAATCTATATTTTTGCTTTATTATATAGGACTTTTATAATGTCACAGTATGATATACCTAGAAATGGCAGTTAGTTTAACTCTAACAAAATGTTATGAAAACTAAAGCCCCAAGAGAGAAAGTGGCTTACCCCGATGCCATAGTGAATTAATAACAGAACTACATCCCGGATAAGTTTCATAATGTGACATTCTTTCTGTTCTGCTGCTTAATACAGCAGGAAAGGCAGGAGGAACTGTGGTATAGTAGAAAAGAGTCCAACATTGTGAGTCATCGTATTTCCTCAA